AAAAAGTTTCTCAAACAACCAATAAGTGAAAAAAAAAATAAGACAGGAGAAAAAGACGAAGTGAAGCAGACAGAGAAAATTTTGTGAGGAAAAAAACCTGCACAGTATTTTCTCATGATCTTTTTTTTTCTTAAAGTACTTCTGAAAGATTCTGTTAACAACGCAAACAAAACATTTCAGTCATCACTCTTCTGTTCGCAATGTACCGGAATATTCATTCGCCCAAATAATAACTAAAACGCACTAAACCAGTCTCAGGTTCTCCAAAAAAATGCCAATTTTTCCACCATCACCATCATCATCGTCATCATCATCATCATCATCATCATCATCACTGTTACCACCACCGATTCACAAAGATCATCGTTCAACAAAAATTATACATCAATAAAATGTTCAGGCCTATACTTTCGTAGAGAATAAGACAAAAACCATTTGAAAAAAAAAGAACGAATTAAGTGCTCAACCACTTGTCAGTCTTTAAAAACCTCACGTGCTCTAAAGATATGCTGTAGAATAATTATTAACGAGTAGCGCAAGAAAAATATATATCTTAAGTAAAATAAAAAAGAAATTGCAATAACATTAAGAAAAAAAAGAAAAAGGGATAAGATGTTTGTAATGTTCGAAAACTTTAATCAACTAATAAAAAGACTAATGCAAAGAGAAGTTCAATATTTTGTATGCTCACCATTTACTGATTGCATTTTAATTGGTACCGTTTGCGTGATAGGCCGATATTCCATTTTTGTGCACCCATTCATACTCGATAACAATAATTTATTAGCATTTAAAACAGCTAAAGAGCAGTCAATATCTGCTGATCGTCCAACATTACTAATATTATTGCCATTGGTTATTGGAGAAACAAAAGCTGTTGCCGCTGTATTGTTATGATCCGTATAGTTATTTGAACTCACGCTATCACTTTTACTAGCAATTACATTCTCATAACATCCATCACTATCCGACGAACAAGTCGAACGCATATTGTAGAAAACCGGATTCCTTGTAGATAATACAACATCCCGTGGACGTTGTTTCAGATCTATATTCCCATAACTAGTAGTCATTTTTTTTGGTACTGTTGAATCCCAAAAATTTGCTGAACCACTAGTAAAATAACTGGAAAAATTTGAACCCTGTTTGTCTTTTCGAACAATATCAGTAGACGAGAGGTTACCAAGTGGAAATCTGTTTAATGAATATCCGCTGGGAACAATCTTTTGATGACCAGTATGCAGTTTATTAGAGAATGCATTCGTTGTTGCAGATACAGTTGAACTATTTATACTAGATTTCATATCACCAATTCTTTCTTGGTTGTTTGAGTAAAAAATGTTTGGTGCAGCTCGATACTGACTAACAACAGAAAAACTACCCAAATGGTTTTGTTTATAGCTCATTACGTTATCGTTACTGTTATAATTAATGTAATTATTGCTGCTAC